GAATCAGTTATAAAAAATATGAATTTATTTCTGTTTAGTTTGTCTCCTGACTGAACAGGTCATGGATCTGACCTCCTGATCTGTCAGAGTTTGTGTCTGATCCTTCAGTCTGCTGTGTTTTTATAACTCTGTTTTTCTTTTAGTCTTTTTGTTTCCCTGCAGAGCTGCTGTAATAAAACAACCAGAAACATCCTGATGGATTCCTTCAGGATCTAAAGGCCGAGGAAAACATGGTTATTGAGGCTGAAATCCTCCAGTTTGTACTCACCACTGATGCTGGGAACTCTGAGGAACCAGAGGAGAAAAAACACGACCGAAGCTGTAAAACTGACTGACATGATTTGTAAAAAAGTGGAGACGAGCAGCAGGAAGTGAAAAGAGACAAAGAGACTGAGAGACGGGCTGCAGAGACAGAGGAGGTGATGGAGGACGAACGACGGGAGGCGTCTAGACTTTACACTCAGAGCAGATATGAGTTGTGAAACAGTAAAAGTCTGTTAATCCTCCCTGCCTCTTCTGGGAAGATTTAAAAGGATAAATCCGACAGTTTACAGTGGGATTACAAAACAATATCTTACCTGCTGCAGATGACWCTGACAAGTTTGGAGAATTTAAATCTGGCAGAAGTGATGAGCTAACGGCTGAAGACTGTCGTCTGTACAACTCCAGGTTTTCACAATGTTTCTGATGGAAATCTGGAGTTATTCACAAGCACAAACATGCTTCAGCAGCTAGCTGTAGCACTTCCTATGTATCCTCCTGAAGGATCAATATATTTATGAAATCTGAAACCGACTGGGTTGAAAAGGTTTATAAAACATTTGAATAAACGATTGTAAAACTTCAAAGACTCAACAACGTAAGTCTAATTTGGTTTTGGACCCATTCTTAGCCGTTAGCGCTTTTTTTCCTCCAAACTGAGGCCACCTGCTACAGGTAAGATATTAACTGTTTATAATCAGTCCTGCTTTAAAATGTCTGAAACATCCTTTTAGGTAGGAACAGTTCAAGGGTTTTAAAGATGTCTTATTTGAGCTTTTATTGTTTTTTTTTCTTTATTTCAATAGGAGAAAAAACTAATTTCTGTTTAAACTTTTTTCTTCTTGACTGTTTAAAAGCCTCCATGTTTAGTTTGATTCACTTTGAGCTCTGTGATGAAGAGACGCCTGGATTTCCCCAAAAGTTTATTTTTTAATTTTTTTAAACCTCAGGTTGTGTAATTATCCTGCAGCCTAGATTAGGGCAGATTAGGGAAGAATTAAAACTTAAAGAGAAGGTGGTTTCCAAAACACAACCTGGGAAAACACACACACTCACTGCTTCCTTGTTGAAACGCTGAGGGTCTTTTTACACAAAAACACTTTATTTGATTTTTTTTCTCCTAAGATTTTGTTGTTAAACTTTAGATTCATTCACCCCCCACCCACCAGGACTCTATGCTTCACAAAATTAAAACATCTTTAAAAAAAACTGCCTTAGCAAAAAAWTAGGACCACATGATGGGATGACCCTTAAAGGACTAGCGTCAGTTAAAGGGATGCATYTCACCCGCCACCTTTTAGGTCTAAGCTCAAAAACAGTAACCAGTAAACAACGCTTCGTAGGAGGGGTGGTCTGTGTGGCAGCAGCTGGGCAGCAGACTGAGCTCCAGGGAGGAGATTTGGGTAAGTAGGCGGAGCTTTGTACCAACACATGCAGCTCCACATGATTCAAGGATTTCTCAAACATGCATGAATGAGTCAGTGGATTTGTTTTTGATGAGGGAATGACATTATAACTTGATATACAGCTCAAAAAAGTAGGTTTTGCATAATCCCCCCTACACCCCTTTAAGCAGAATATATTTAAAATCAACAAAGCAGTTGAATCAATTTTAGACTTCTAATTTCAGTTATTTAGGTTTTGCTTTAGTGTTTTAAAATTTGATTATTTAAAGGGAAGAAACTTTTTACAGAACAAACCCACTCATAAAATAACTCCGTCTTTCATGAACAAACCCCACCCCCCACTCCTCACACACCTTTTAAAGTTTATTTAATCATAAGACAGAAGAAAAAAACAGAGAAATGTCATATAGTTCAGGAAGTCCTGAAACTTTTCAAAGTTCTCATGAAAGCCTCGACGCTCGAMGGTGCCACCTCCATGGATCCGAACTCTTCCACCGGTTGTCAGCTGACTCTCAGCTGCTCAGCTTCAATCCACCAGCTGCCAGATATCTTAAATAATAAATGTGACTAGTCATAATTCAGTTTCAGATATGTGGAATGTAAGGGTCGTGAGTTCGATTTTATGCTAAAATTGCTTGCCATACACCTCCTGAATGTTTTTTAACATCCCCTGAATTTAATACACCTGATTTTGTTTGTTCTAATGATGGAATTAAAACCTATAAAAACCTCCACTGTACATTATACTTTTTTTGTTT